CAGGATTTCGTCGTAAAGTGAAGAAGATGGAGGAGGCTGATGTCTTGACATTGTATAATGGTTGTCGTGGTAAGAGTTGTCTCTCCGGTATGAAGTAATGTATTGTAGTGGAGGATAACAATCGTAGAAGTAGACATCTTCTACTGACGTGTTAAAATGTTGAATTCTGCTAAAGCCGGTGCTAGGGGGCGTGGACGGTAACTTGTAAAAAGTCTCGCTGTACATTTAATCAATGATGTTATATTTTCGATCCTTGAAGATCGTTCAGCACGACATTATTGTTGTGCTTATAGTATATTTAGTTTCAACTTTTCGGCATTTTCTATTTGGGTGGTTCCAATATTCCTACTTGAATAATGTTGAATCACCTTATGATATGATGCCTGCTTTTTAAATGTGTCTTTTAACGTCTTATCTGTGATACGCAGGCTTCATAACATCTGATCCCCTTTCAAAATTCCATTCTATTTAGTCCCGTCCATTGTTTTCTCGTTTAGGGCACACGCTTTTTATTACTTGGGGACCATACGCAGCTTTTCATGGAATGGCACAGAAGTGTCACATTGAAGGTTCCATTATAACCGCCGTATGAACACATCTGCGGATGTTTCTAAATTCAAAATTTTACTATTTCATGTTAAAATTTTGAATTCTGCTTAAGCCGGTGCTAGGGGGCGTGGACGGTATTTTCTTGTTGCTCTGTCTTCCTTTAAGACATTGAGTACTTTTGTTATGGTCATTGGGTTTACTTTTATATGTTTCTACATGATCATTTTGGTGTTTTACTTATTTAACCTTTTGTAACCATAGCAACTGTTAGAACTTCACTTGGCGGGGATTCATTTTATTTACACTGACTTGTTTATAGGAACATAGTGGGGCTAAGAGCGAGTTTTGGTGCACCATTAACCGGTTTAAACTCCCCAGTAGTCATTATTATGCTACCGACCGTTCCAAGGCGGCGCCCCTCTGTGTTCCTCAGATGTATGTCTATGTTGTTTTATACTGTTTTCGTGACAGTTTTGCTTGTGTCTCTTGTTGTTTCTCGTCTACGGTAAGTATCTTCCCCTTTGTCCCTGTTTTTATTTATTTTATTTATTCCCCCCCCCTTCCCCGTGTCTCGTGTCCCCTTCCCCTGTGCCTTTTGGCTTTGTGGGCCTAATATTTAATCATTTATTTGTTTTCTTTTAGTTCCTAATCAGTTACTAATTATTTGCCTGCCCGTGCTCTGCCTTGTGCCCTGTCCTGTTTTCTTTGGCGTCCTCCTGGGCTCCTTGCCGATGACTCTTGTTGCTGGGTCGGGTGGGGGCTGCGTTCATTGAACGCCGCCTTTCCTTGTCGATCTTGTTTATCATAATTTGCACTTTCCAGTACCGTCCATGAACAGGCTCAATCAAACCGAGCCTGCAACATTTTTCAATTTTGCCGTGTTGGGCTTTCTTTAGGGATTCTGTATTAATCTATCTATACTATTATTTGATGTCAACATTGGTTTGAAGTGTTCTGAATAGCGGTTCCATCTCAGTATTGTGTTTGCGTATTTAGCATCTGGTCATGTTTGACTGGGCTTTCTTCGACATTTTGACGAGGTTTGACAATATTAAGGTAGAATATTCTTTCTTATTATTTCGGAGCCAAAGTACAGACAAATTTTGATAATCTTTCATTTCGGTGCCTATATGCGGACATATTTTAAGCTAATAATGGTTTGTTAAGTGAAGTGTCTTTTTAAATGAAAATTTAGAATTTATATTATAAAGATAAACCGAAAGCTTTTTGATTATACACACTATATTGCCTAAAATGTGTGTGTATGAAATAGGCACTGTCGGACGCTGAAAATAATGTTGTAATTAGTTGGAAATGACTATGTACTATGTAATAACTTTGGTTGCTATTGATCTCTGTACTTGTGATTTTTATTTTGGGTAAGGGACTCTTTGGGAATTGGCCTTTATATGAAATTAAAGAAGTAAAATAGGCCTGGCTAGAAGATAGAAAAGAATTTTACAACTCTAGGATCATATAAGACACGCTTGTGCTTCCAGCTGCCAGAACTGTATAGCCAGAAATATATAATCACCTATTATTGTATTACTAATAGAACGATTAACCCATATAACATCCAGCTTGCCGGACTGCCGCAATGTATAGCCGGAAGGATGTCAATGTATTTACCGTCCTACCTTATATGAAAATAACTGAAACTAAATTAACTGTTCAGACTTGTGAAAAGCTTCAACCTTCGGGCCGCCCCTATCAGTCGAAAGAGAACAGATCACTCAGTAACAATTGAAAGAAGAAAAGATAGGTCAAGAGTTTTTACTGGTAATTGACTTCACGTAATTGCTATTATTATTTATTTTCAAAAAAATCCTTTGACAAAAATCCTTATTTTCAAAAATACAAAAATTTACTTAATAATGTACTCCTAAGGTGAGAACATTTTACTTATTTTCAAAACGATCCCACTTCTGGCACCATTGTTGTGGTCATTAAAAATGTGTTAATTAGGTGGTGTTTCTAAAAATAGAAGCAGGCCTTTATCTCACTTGGCACCATTGTTGTGGTGTTGAAAATTAAAAGTGTTTAGTCTTCTATAAATAGAATTTAGTTACCTATTAAATAATATTTACTTTGTAATGTTCTTAGTTTGCTTAGGAGTACTATTTAATGGGATAAATTTAATCGTCAGGATGACACCACCCTTTGAATACAAACTTAAGGGAAATAAAACACAAATGTTGAATGAATTTAAATCAACCAAATTTTTAATGAACTAAGTTTTTATTTACACTTATTATAAAGTTACTTAAAACTAAACAAGTTGACAAAATGTACTTTAATATAAACTGTTTGTAATTAAGCAAAAATATTATAATCAAAATAAACTAGTGAATAAAAGGTTTAAACCAGTTGAAGGTTGTTTAAACTGTTATAAAATTAATGAGATTATGAAAAATAACCTTAATGATTCTGTGCTGTTAAACTAATAAATCTGAATAGTGGCAAGCCCTGTTTTAATATGTATTAACAAAAATAAAGGTATAATAATTCAAGATAGTTGCCACTTAAAACAAAGAAAAGATATTAATTAATCTTAATGAATTCTGTAACAATAATTACTTAAATTACTTACAAATGTATCAGAAATGTTTCAGTGAATTTAGATAAACTCTAAGGTTTACTTAAGGTAGACCATGGGTAATGGGCACCATAAGGAACTGTAAAATTGACAACATAGGACAATTATATGTCTTCAAGGTCACATGTATGCAAAATTTAAATAAAATTTACTGTGTGGTTTATGAGTTATGGATATATTTCTGAACTAAGACTTTGCCATTAGAAGGGCTTATTTTCAGAAATGAGGAAACTGTAAATATCATCATTATGAAAAATGTTTTTCTTTTGCTCATTGTTAAGAAACAAATAACAACATTCAGGTAACACATTATACAAGCAAAATGTTTGTTTCTAAACAAAATGGTCTTAATACGTATAATAATGTTACCCTACCCCATCCACTTTTAACACTTATTTTACCATTTCCTAATCTAAAATGCCTTATTCAAAATATCCCTAAAATTTATCGAAATGAGGGTCTGTTTTCAAAGTTTGCCAAAATATTTTCAAAGGTATATTAGTTGATCATACGAAATATAAAATACTTTTACCGTGTAGTTTTTATTTTATCGAACTTTGAAAATATCTGGTATCATATTTGCTATAAATTTTGGCATTATTTAGCAAAAAAAAAATACCTAAAATAATTATATAATTTAAATCAAACTTTTTTTCTTCCATAAGGGATCAGAGAGATACATAAATAATGTTAAAAAGAAAAAAAGAAAGAAAAAAAATTGCCCCTTCTGGGGATTGAACCCACGCCCCTCAATTTCAATGTAGTTTACAAGCGATTCTAGCCTATTCGAATACTCTTCAAAGTGGAGTAATGCATTACCCATGGTCTACCTTAAGTGCCAAAGTGCCTAAAATAAATTAAATAATTAATAAATTAACCTTAGAGAGCTTTTAGAGATGTTACTTTTCCAAACATTAGCAGCAGAATCACAAAATTGTGTAAAGTGCCTGTATTTATGCACACTACAGGGAACCAGAACTTTGTTTGGAACCAGTAAAAGGCAGAACTGTTCTGATTGGTCAAGGAATTTTAGCCAATCAGAGCTCATAAGGGCTTTTCATAACTACTAAGTTTTCTAAAAATAGATTATGATTCATGGAAAATTTTGCACCAGTATCAATTGACCATGATCACAAAAATAATAAAGTTATTAACTTTTACAAAAATATTCTAAACAATAAAACAAGAAACTAATATCAACTAAACATATTGTATATAAAGAGTCTTAGGGCATGCTAAGTGTTACTATTAAAGTGTTTATCAAAAAGTTCTACAAAGTTACTAATAGTACAACTATAATCAACATTAAACCAGTGTATAAAAAGCTTACAGTGTTCAAACTAAATAGGATGATTGCATATATAGAATAAAAGATCCATACCTATAATGGGGTCACAAGGCCAATGAACAATTTCAAATGACCTCAATATTTCTAACAGTTTACAACTGTCAAACTTCTTAGGATGATCATTTATATTGAGTACATTAATTATATGCCCAAAAAATGTTTAAATTATGTAATATTCCTGGCGTATTCTTACTTGCAAGATAACAACTTGATGTTTGTGCTTTGGAAACAGCCACTGTATAAATATATATGATGGTTCTTTAGCTACTATGTAGAAGGAGGTCATACTTTATTTAATTTCCCATGTCTTACAAATGCTTCATCCTTACTATAACACAATACCTTCGGGCATATAATGCTCCGCCTAGCGGTGCTCTTGTTGTCATGTCTAACATGTCTAAAGTAAATTGCCCAACATCATAACTAAACATGATAGTAAGAAAAATCGCTCTTAAAATGTAATAACACACTTTTGTATTTATGGGTTTGTTTTTATTTCAGGTTTAGTTCGGAGCTTACAATACACTGTTTTAAGTAGGAAAGACAAATGTTTACAAGCAATGGCTTCATATAGCCCTAAACTGTTAGAAAAGAAATACAATAACTGGGTTAAAGCTCAGTTAGCTGTGTTATTTACTAAAGAAGGAGTTGAACCTTTTGTTTGTAATGAAATTAGGCAATTTCAATTGAAATGTTTACATGATATATGTTACTTAAATGGCTTATTTAGTGGAACTTGTTGTTCAAGTTGCTGTACGGAAAATGTTGTTCAATGCCCTACTGACAAAATATGTAAAGTTAGGCGTGGGAAATGTACGTATCATCGGAATGTTGCGACAAGGTACAGTTCTTCTGGCTGTCCTAACAAGATATGTCATAAATTAAAAGTTGAAATACAAAATGCACATAGGTACAACGGTCCGTCGTACAAAAACAGTGATGCTACTCAGTGGTGCAGTAATTTCTGGGAAGTAGCAAAGTGCTTCATGCCCCCAGATGGATACAAAGAAAAGGCATCTGCAACGGACACAGACTTCAATGGTATCATTAGCGTTATCCTTAATTACAAAGACTTCCAGGGGAAATTACGTGAGAACCTCAACAATAAGACAAATATGTTTGAAGAGGTAAACAATATTCCGACACTATTAATGAAGACTAATGCTAGTAATTGGTAATAAATCAAACGTTAATATATTAGTTTGAACTAAGGAATTTAACACTACGTAATGATATCTATAATAAATAAAGATTTTATCATGCTTTCTTGGAAAAATGTATTCGCCTAGTAAGGATTAAATTTTTACTATTACCTAACAGATTGCTAGTTTTCAGTTTATTTCATAACCTACTTAGCATAAAGCTAGATATTTTCTGAAAATATTATAGTTTTTCTTATAATTGCTATACAGTTTAAAGGAACTCCACTGAAATTCAAATGCTTAAACACATGATATTTAAACATCTAACGAATATCAAGTGAAACACTTAAAGTGAACAAATCTGCAAATGATGAAAAAAGTTTACTCAGATGTGAATTAGAAATCGGTTTTCTGTACAATTCTTAGCCGGTTTTGTGCGACAAGCGTTGCAACGCTATTCATTTTTTGGTCATTTTATATTGTAAAAATAATCATTTTTGAAAAACGGAGAGATGGAATAACTGTAAATGTACACACAAATAACTGGTCCAGACCAACATCAATTGATACAAAAGCCTTGGAAAAATGTTTCCTGTCCGGTCATGTCAAAATATCTCAGTGGTGTCCCATTTAGTTGCATGCCTCAAGATGAGCCAAAAAATCAAGAATATCAAACTTGAGAAAAAAATAAAACAATGATTTTAAGACAAAAATCTACTTACATGTTATGTATAGTATGTACAATTAGATATTAGTTTTGCACTATTTATTACCATATTTGTTCTGCTTGACAATTGCAGTACTAAAAGCTAATTATATAGTGTATGTATTCTATAGATTTTTTTTGATATAGCTTTATAGCCTGTAAATGTTTAAGATGCAATAAGCTAAGAACTGTTATTCTATTTTGACCAGGCAAGAGAAATTGGAAGAAATGTTCGACATTCATCAAAACTTGAAGTAGAGGATTCAGATCTACAGAAATACTTCAAATTATTACAGCAACTGCTTTCTGACCCTGTGTATTTAGCTACAGACACGCATGCGCAGAATGCTAATCAGAAACTTATACAGGTGATTAAACTATTTTAACATTCAAATACCTTAAACATTTCATCGTATGACTAGAACACAATATTTCGTGTGTAATCTACTTAAAAGTGTATAAATCTAATTCAATAACCTTTATTTTATATATGAACAAATCATGGAAAAACACAGTTCCTTTTAAGTTATGGTCGATTTTCAAAAGCGTAACATAGAATACCTGTTGTTTGCTGACCACGTGTGTAAACACAATAAAATATGGTTTAATGTTATTAAATATTCACCGTTTTGCAATAGCTCGTAAGTGCATATACAAACACTTTTTTTCATAAAAAGAAAAGCAATCTTATAACCTAGGAGGACTTTTCAAAATCAATTAAATACACGACAATAATTGTCCTATGCTGAAGATTTATACTTTTTTCAAAATGTTTTGTTTGCAAACAAACCTGGTTACGCCCTTGTGACTATTACGCGACAGAAACTTTGTTTACTACAATTAGCAAAGTTTTGCTTCATACCTTTTAAACTATCATGTCATCATTTTGATCAGCCCAGTAATGACAAACATTGCACACACATTTGTTACAAATAAATACAGTAGATTCAATATACCCTTTAATTGTACATTTTATGATTAATAGATCTTAAATTCTGGTGTACTAGTATATTAATTGATATTTTATATTTTATGGTATTTATAATTACAGTTAGAAAATGACACTCTAGTCATTGGCAAAGATGAAATAAGGAAAGTACTAGACGATGTGGCAACCGTAATTCAAGACAAGATGAAGGCTGAATTAGATGATCAATATGACAGAATTAAACTTGATATGATTAGAAGAAAACAAGAAGATCTTCTATCCTTTGGGTCTAAAACTGCCGAGGGAATTATACAGCTACAAGATAAGACTGATGCTTCTGTGAAAAGATTAAATGACGAAAGGGACAAAGAACTTGATACAATTCATAAACAAGGAGATAAAGAACGAGCAGGTCTGACTGAATTAGGAGAGACGTTACAAAAAGAACTGAAAACAGCAAATAAAGCCGAAAAAGAAGAACAATATCTAGCTGTTAAATCTAAAACTGCCGAGGGAATGTCACAGATACAAGTTGAAACAGATGCTTCTGTTAAAAGATTAAATGACGAAAGGGACAAAGCAATTGTTGCAATTCATGAACAAGAAGATAAAGTACGAACGAACCTGGCAAAAGTAGGAGAGACGCTACAAAAAGAACTGAAAACAGCAAGCCAAGCCGAGAAAGAAGAACAGTATTTTGATTTAACACAAAGTAAGTGATATACATTTGTCAAAATATTTTATCACATGACTTCATGTTTTCCATGTGATTTTACTATTACGAATTTATTTTTCATTTCCGAGTCCAAAATGTCCATATCAAAACCATACTGCACTCGAAGTGATTGTATCTGTAATATACTTTCTTGTTATACTAAGACACTAGCATTGTTAATCTTAGGTGCCATCTTTAATTTAAATGTCTTTTAATGTAAAATTAAAGAGTTCGTTATTCATTGTTAAGTACCATACTTATTCTAGCCAATAATTCAATGTTGCAAAATAGTTGAATATCACTTTAATTTCACTATAAGTACTCTGTATTTCACTTGAAAATATATAAAGAAATAAAATAAACACGAAAAACGTTATAAACGTTTTCAAAATTTGTTATTCTAAAAATGTTTGTGCAAACGGTAGATTTAACAACAGCTTTTTCAGCCTACTGGAATAGCCTTAAGGTAGAACGCGACACTTTGCGAACTTTCGAGTAGCGTCTTGAAAATGGGCATGCAAAAAATTGACCATATTTCTGATTGGATTTCGTTGATTCTATTTCAATAGTTTCAGCCAATTTTTGTACACATGACGTCAAAGTTGACTATCAAAGCCCGTTTTTGAACATGACGTCGTTGCGTATCCTTGGCAACTGTTACTGGTATTTCAACGCCATTGGCGGAGAAAATATCTTAAATCCTACAGAATTTGACGAAAATTATTTTTTCCTTTAAGCAGATATAAAAATTATTGTTTTACGCCGAAAATTGTTTGAGTAATGGAAAGAAAATTGTCAATTTTGTGTAAAATTTGACGTTCAGTTTAGCCGCAATTTTCGGCTTTAAAGCAGCTAATTAAAAAAATCCTGAAATAAATTTTTGATTTTTTTTCTTTAAACGTCCTTTAAAATGTATACTTAGTCAAAATAACTAAAAAATTAGGGGGTGACCGACTCAAATTTTTCAGTACACGTGATTTTATTTCCCCCACCCCGTGAGTAATTTTGTAACGAAATTCGACGTATGCAGATACGTTTGAGATTTCAAAGTGCGGCAATAATGTTCAGGTTATCAGGAGAATTGTTCTAGATTTTACTAATACATATAAAACAACAACAATTATGTTCCATTGCAAATTCTTAAAATTGTACGAAAAACAAACGATTTTTTTCTTGTTTTTAAGCATGAATAATAACTTCATAAGGAATAAATGACGTCAGACGTTCAACGGCAACGCGTACTCTGCGCAAACAAAAATAAATACACCTGAGAGTAATCATAAGCTTTGTTCCTTTTTGATATTGTAATACAATAAGATTAATAAACTTGAATCGAGAAATATGTCATAAGGAACAAAAAGCAAGTATATATTTTTATGTAAATTTAGAAAATTACGGAAATTCAATCATAAATTAATACGTAGTCTACAAGGAATTCTGCAAATCTATATATTTTGCATTACCCACACTATGAGTAATATACTGTGAGTGATATGTATTTTATTTCACCTATTAAAAACCAAAATTTGAATTTCAGTTGTAATCAAAAACTATTGCAACAATTTGACAGAATTGGCGAAATATTGACAAATTAAATATAACGTTCATAAAAGAAACTTAGTCAATTATATTAGCGTGAAGCAAACAGTCATGCTTGAAACGTTAGCTCAGTGGGTGTTGGATTACAGATGTAGCACGTTCGATTCTACAAGTAAATAAACATCTGTTATGCATATTCTCTCGTTTTGCTTATCATTTTAGAATATTATAATGTTAAAAATAACGATTAATTGAGGATTCACCATTAACGCTGTATTAAACACATTACTATCAAATCGGCCTTTGCAAATATTCATTATTCACTATATAGCCAAATTAATGGTAGAATTTATTTTGAACAGGAAATTTAGAAACAGTACTTTAAACATGAAATATAATGAAACGTTGTAAACACATGTCTGCGGATTTTAGCGAACCGGCGGCCCTGAGCTAGATACTGCACAAAGGAGTGTTGCGTTGTAAATCTTTATATAAAAAAAGATATTTCAATATATATATATTGTCATTTTTTGTCTGTACATGCTACGGGCACTGTAGAGGATCTGTCGATGTTTCACTAACTATTTAATCAGTATGCAACTGACATGTAAATAAAACCGGGAAATATTACATTTTACTCAAAGTTTTACTATGTATTGTTACATTGTATTCTGACAAATATCAGATCAGACTATTATTTCTTTCCTCTTGTAGAAAGTGGGTAATTCTGCAGTACAACTTTATTCTCTGTTTTATATACAAAATCTATATTTACAAGAATAAAAAAATCATATTGTGGTAATATCTGACCGTGTAATTAAAAAAATACGCATTTTAGTAAATACGGACTTCATTTAAAGTTCCCGCATATTACGAGTGTACGGATCACGGTATATTAGTAATATACGTATTGTATGATACACGGTCCCGTACATCAAGTTTCACTTATTTTTACCTGTCTATCTATAATATACGGAATTCCGTACCCTTTATTGTATCCATATATTTTTCGCAGTGGTCATAATAGCGTAAAATGCCGTAAAAAGCGGGATTTTGACACAGGGCGATCGTTTTAATAACATCAAAAAACCAAACGCCCCGTGATAACGGGACTTTATCCAAGGGGTGGGGGAAATAAAATCACGTGTACCGAAAAAATTGAGTCGGTGACCCCCTAATTGTTTTAGTTATTTTGACTAAGTATAAATTTTAAAAGGACGTTTAAAGAAAAAAATCAAAAATTTATTTCAGGAATTTTTTAATAAGCCGATTTTAAGCCTAAAAATGCGGCTAAACTGAAAGTCAAAATTTACACAAAATTGACAATTATCTTTCCATTATTCAAACAATTTTCGGTGTAAAACGATAAATTTTATATCAGCTTAAAGGAAAAAGTAATTTCCGTCGAATGCTTAAAGATTTAAAATATTTTGTCCGCCAATGGCGTTGAAATACCCGTAACAGTTGCCAAGGATACGAAACGATGCATGTTCAAAAACGGGCTTTGATAGTCAGATTTGACGTCGTGTGTACAAAGATTGGCTGAAACTATTGAAATAAAATCAACGAAATCCAAACCAAAATATGATCAATTCTTTGCATGCCAATTTTCAAGACGCTACTCGAAAGTTCGCAAACTGTCGCGTTCTACCATAGCAACCACTGTCCTATGACTTGAATTTAAAGTATATATGATTTAGTATAAATGTCACTGCGGGAAGAAAATATAAGCAAATTTGGCGCTTACGCTTGTAAAGTTAGTCTGACGTCTTGACGTCATTTCCTGTAAATTTAAAGTCGATGTGTTGAACGGTTATTTTGCAGCAGCGTTAACCTCTATCAATCGGAACATCCTCGGCTATTATCTATGATAACATCGGGACAAAACGGATTGAAAGTAGTTCAACCACGTGGTTTTAGATGTAAGAAATGTATATATTTGACATTCAAAAGAAAAGTAATGTCTGTTTCGGTACTTAATTGTAATTTAGATATGCCCACTGGTCAGACCTGGGGATGATTACATTGATCAGTAATTGATTTAATTACAATTACTTTCAGATTTTATTGTAATTGATTACTCAGACTTGCCTATGTAATCAATTAAATTACAATTACTTTAAGAAAGTAATTGATTGATAATTGATTACATTCAATGTATAACTATAGACAAAAGTTTCTTAATGCTATTTAATATATGCATTATATACACAAAGGATTTCCAGCTCATCAACAGTCATCAATTTAACACACTTTTAGTTACTGTCAAATCACTTTATCATATTTTAGCATTGCACTTTAACATCATAAGTTCATGAAACCGTCTGTCAGTCAGACTGCATCTATCAGGACGGAAAATTTACCCACAACACTAAACAAACGCTCTACAGGGGGCCGATGATGCAGGAATGGTCCTCAGTCTTGGTGTAGGTTTCATAATAAACTCTCTGCAACAGAAATTTTGAAAAGTGTCAATTGTACAGTATACTGTATACATGTGTTAAAACAGGTGTGAAAACAATAAATTGTTGTATGGGAATTCAATGACAATATAATTTACAAAGAAATTATCAGTTTTTTTACAACACTTCAATGGAACAACAGTATCCATTATAATTAAGACACATTGTCTATCACCTTACAAAATAACTGCTGCATATAATTAAAATATGGTAATATGCATCTGACATAAACTGACTATACAAAGTAACGAAGTTATCTACATTGTTTGAAACTTTTTAAAACATGGTTAAACCAAAATATGTGAAACAAAATTTAACATACCTTTATAATGAAATTTGTTTAGTGTTTCCAGTTATCTTCCTAGGGCACAATTTGCATTGTGCTGTCACATTTCCAGATGTCTCTTTAGGAAATTTAAAGACATCATAAATCCAATGACTTGACATTTTGGTTAGAATACCAGCCAAACAATGTCTATCTTTCAGTTAGAATTTGGTGAATGTATGGATTAAAACTTTAAGTTATTTCTTCATTGTGAGTGATGTCTTAAAACATCTCATGTGATATTTTACTACCTTTATGAACAATCATTGTTTATTATGACAATTTCTATTATTTACTTCAAATATGGATATCAGTAGAGAACATTCTCTCTATTTAATAAAACTGCTGCTATTGAGTATCAAAATCAATCAATTTACACTCTACAGTTTGTGATTAAAGATCATTATAAAGGAGTATAAGTTAAACTGTAACATGAGAAATTAATCATTTAAATTTCAATAGTTTCAGATTGTAAAATCCGAAAGTAATCAACATCAATCAAATTGTAATCATAATTACAGACTGAATTGAAGCTGTAATTGATTAATTACAATTAATGTAATCAATTTTTAGCAAGGTAATCAATTGCATGATGATTACAGTGTAATCATGTAATCAATTAAAAAATCGATGATTACGATTGATGATTACCCCAGGTCTGCCACTGGTGTACAATTAAAAAGAATCCGACTAAATGTCAACAGGTTAGGTTTTTTACTTCCGATTTCTACAACCATAATAATAAATATATAAATAATGTATTGTTTGCTTTTGTGCGTATAAATTCACTTATTTTAGGTGGACTTTTACTACATATACTGCAACGAAACTTGTCAACAACTACCAGCATTAAAATACTATTTGTTTACATGTTTAGTTTCTTAGCGTATGTAAGACCAAAATTCCGCATCCGTTTTGTATATTCATACTTTTGTGTTCAAGGTCCTTATCCGAAGATTGACGGAAAGGGCCGAAAAGTTGCGATTGAACCTCTATGTCTACCAAACGGCGAATTATGTCAGCAGA